AACTTTCCACATGGGTATCTCATTCAGAGGGCCCTGCCTGCCGCATCCCTCCTCACCCCCACGAGCCCCCCCCCCACCTGCCACTTGCCACATCCTTCCTCACCCCCCGCCACTGCGAGATGCCGCCCACTGCTCGCCATGTGCCTCATCCCCTCCAACCCCTCCCCTGTGAGAATCCCCACCCACCACTCTCCATGTCTCTCCTTTCCTCTACCCCCACACCAGATCCCCCCAACTGCCGCTCGCCGCATCCCTCCTCACCCCTCCTTGCCCTGGAGACCCCTCCCCCACTCACCACGTCCCTTCTCAACCCCTGCCCCTCACAGGGATAGGAGAGGAGAGGTCTGGTGAGTCGTGGCGGCTGAGCAGGGAGGGGGCAGGGTCTGGGGCAGAGTGGGGGCGGGGCCTACGTGGCATGGGGATGGAATGTGGGTGCAAGAGGTGGGACAGGGAACTAGCCTCCCCCAGGGGAAGCGTCACCCACTGCCCATGTTAAGGCTGTTTAGTGCTTCTGGGTTCCCACTTGGTACCTGGTGGTGAGTGAAATCAGCACACACAACCAGTGTGGGGTTTGTGCTCTGCTTTGTAACTGCCCTGAGGTTGGTCCTCACATTCCTGAGCTGCCCCCAACAACTACAGCTGGGACATTAAAGTGGAAGAAAGAAGAATTGTTTGTAATGTTTTTATTTTACAGTAAGTAGCTGGAAAGCAGGAAACTAAAAGGAGCTTAGAGAGAGTTTAATGGCCACAGCATATTGTAAGGAGATCCACAGCTACTGGGAACAGGTTTTTAATGGCACAAAAGTAGCACCAATGCCCAGGAATTAATATAGGGAATGAATGAGTTACAGTCTCACTTTCAGTAACGTGTCAGAAATCTCTCCGTCCCACTCATGTTCCCTTTCCTTCTCCCGCTTCTTTCCCTCCCCTTCCTTCTCCCTTACTGTCCTTTTCTACTCAGCATTTTTCTAGCCCTAACTTCCCACCCCTGTTTATTTTCCTGTGTCTCTCCCACTTTCCTCCGTCTCACAGATCTTCCCCCTTGGCCACTCTATTCTTTCCCTGATTTTATCCCTTCCTGCTGAACCCCTGTCAGGGATGTTTTCCCATCACTCTTTTCATTTCTGTTTTTCACCATTTCTCCTGGACTCTCCTTTTATTCTTGTTTTACTTTAATTCTCATTTTCTTCTTCCTTCTTCTAATTCCCTCTGGTTAAACCCGCCCTGTCTCTGCCTCTCCCAGTGCTGCCAACCTCGGGAGTTTTAAAAAAACAGGAGACTGACCTAAAATGATTTTTAAAATATTTTATAATGGTTTTTGGTCTATCTGCACCCCCGCCCATCCCGTTTGTGTGACAATTACAAATTTGCCAGCTCTCTGAGATGGTGACTTGGGCCCCTGTGGCAGGAGCTCTGGCTG